CAAAATTCGAAATTTACACATTTTCTCAAATATCTCGAATACGGTCTATTTTAGAGAAATTATATATATATATATATATATAATAAAAATTATAGAGAATTATATTACAAACAACTTTTATTTGAACAAACATACTGCGATGGATGTATACTGCAATAGTGAGACCAATCATCACTTACGGGGCTATAGCCTGGAGTAACAGAACTAGTTTAGTTACTACGAGAGCTAATATCTCAAAAGTACAAAGACTAGCCTGTGTTTGCATTACTGGTGCAATGAGAACCTGTCCTACGGCCGCAATGGAGGTGATATTAAACCTCACCCCTCTACATTTGATGATAGAGAATGTGGCAAAAAGGACACGATATAGAATGATCAGGAGCGGAGTAATCAGACGAAAGTCTACTTGCTTCAGGACTAAAGATACCTGGGACATGCCCCAGGATGAAATGCAAAAGAAGTACAGTTTTGTGAAAAACTTCAAAACCACAGAGCTGGGCAGCAAGAAAGAATGGAGCCAAGAATCCATCGCGCTTGCAACCGAAGGACGTGCTATTCAGTGGTACACGGACGGTTCCAAAACCATAGAAGGAACTGGAATAGGAGTGTATGGGCCGAGAACCAAGCACTCCGAAAGCTTGGGAAAATACCCAAGCATCTTACAGGCGGAAATTCACGCCATCGAGAAGTGTATCCAGTTTAACATCGAGAGAAACTATCATAGACAAGAGATTATCATCATGTCCGATAGTCAAGCAGCCATCAAAGCGCTGAGTTCTTACGTAATCAGCTCAAAAATGGTATGGAGATGCCTAGAACAATTGAATGAGCTAGGCGAGAAAAATAGAGTTACTCTCACTTGGGTCCCGGGACATAACGGGGTACAGGGTAACGAGATTGCAGATAGTCTTGCAAGGAAAGGGGCTCAAACACCCTTTGTAGGACCTGAGCCGTTCTGCGGTATCAGCAGTAACATAATATTAGAATAGATTAAAAAAGAATTGGGTAGTAGAAGAACCGATAATTGGAACAATCTCTTGGGGCTGAGACAGGCCAAGATACTTCTGGGTGAATATAACCAAAAAAGATCGGAAGCCTGCATCTGCCTGAGCAAGAACAGGCTACGTATTGTAACAGGGATCCTTACCGGGCACTGCCGACTAAAAGGACACCTAAGTAAACTGAGAGTAGTAGAGGATAGTGAGTGCAGATTCTGTGAGGAGGAGGACGAAACCTCCATTCATATCCTAACTGAATGTGTAGCACTCCAGAATCCAAGGGCACTATATCTAGGAGGATATCAAATAGAAGAGGGAGACTTACCTAACTTGAAGCCACTTCAAATCCTACACTTCCTTGAGAAAATAGGATTGGAAGGGTCGCTATAGGCATTGAGACATTTCCTTAGTGCAGTGGCGACAGAAGGGGGCACAATAGATCTTTTAGGTCGCAGTGTATTAACACCCCATTATGAACATAACATAACATACACGTTGGGCCACATTATCAGGACCCACTACCAAATTAATATAGTCTTTTTTTAAATCCTTTTAAAAATTATCAAAATAAATACTTTTTGAAGGTTTACATACAAAAGATTCAAGGTATATAATTGACATTTCCTGAAAATTTCACAAAATCCAACTAAAAATAAAGGCTTGGATACACAATAACGGTGATTACGACGAAAATAAGTATTCAAGTAGTGAAAATGGCAACGGCATCTGTTCCTAGTAAGTAAAAGATTGCTTGTATTACCCAATCAGAAAATTACGTGAGAAATTTACTGAAGAGTCCTAATAAGGACGAAACCGGTCCAAGAATGGCGTTCTCCTTGGTAAGTAAAATCAAAGGTAGATTGAATTATATTCAATAAGTGTTACGGTATTAGCTAAAAAAATTAGGCATTCCAAACAAATGAATTACCAGTGGGCAGGTTTGGTATATCTAAGGGTGGCATCATATGGTGTATTCTATCTACTTTACGTAAAATCATGAATAATGGATTACATTTAAATATTTTATGTCAAACACAATAAAAATAATATTTAAAAAACCCACCTATACATTTCTTCATAAATTGGCAGGCTAGGCGAGTACTACTTCGAATAAAAATAGCGTACAAGTTGCAAGACTATGTCGCTACCCCCTTAAATATACAAGAATTTCCCACTGGCACCTATTGTTTGACAGGTCGTTGGAATGCCTAATAGTTATTTTCCAAAAAAACGGTCGCTCGTATTTTGTGTAACATATGGCTTTGTGTTTAATTTATTTTATTTTTGAAATTATAATTTATATTATAATAAAATATAAAATTGCCAAACACGTTCTTATATATCGACCAAAACTTCTAAATGTGATTACGATGACAAGTCTCGAATTACTACTACAACAGGTGGAGACAGTTGAAGTTTTACATTTTTATTTTGTAGTTTTTCACACCCTGTATAATACTGAAAAGTGACGTTTTACTGAAAATTACATAAAGCCATTAATACAAGAAATAATGAAATTAAGTTTTTTTAATTTAAAAATCTGATGTGTCCAACACATGACTTTCCTATCTAGTTATTATAGGCATTTTCCGGTTATTTTGTACAACCTATTGCAGCATCTCTATAAATGTTTAGAGGATAAACTAAATATATACATTTTCCACATACATCTACCTCGAAACATTTTTCTATAGATATTCATTGAAAACGAAAATACTGAAAAATTTAAATTTCCTACAATTTTTTCATTACGGTCCATTTTAGAAAAATCATGTATAAACAAAAATTGTAGAGATCGATATCGCAAACAACTTTTATTTCAAAAACTTTCATAAAAATCAGAATTTTGCACATTTTGTCAAATTTCTCGAATACGGACCATTTCAGGAAATTTTTACATAAAACAAAAATTATAGATAATAATATTAGAAGTAACTTTTATTTGAACAATTTTTTTCTCCAAACATTAATAACAGATATATTCCATAAAATATAAAAACGGCCTCCCATAAAGTACCCCCCCAGATGTTCCGACTTTGTCCAAAATCTAATCATTTTACGTCAGGCCGAAATAATCCTTAAGTTTAAAATTTAATGTTTTTTTCTTTATCCGTTTTTGAGTTTTCTTCAAAATTCGAAATTTACACATTTTCTCAAATATCTCGAATACGGTCCATTTTAGAGAAATTATGTATAGAATAAAAATTATAGAGAATTATATTACAAACAACTTTTATTTGAACAATTTTTATAAAAAATTATTTTTTTTACATTTTGTCAAATTTCTCGAATACGGACCATTTTAGGAAAATTTTGCATAAAACAAAAATTATAGATAATTATATTAGAAGTAACTTTTATTTGAAGAATTTTCTTCTCCAAACGTAAATAACAGATATATTCCATAAAATATAAAAATGACCACCTATAAAGTACCCCCCCAGATGTTCCGACTCTGCCCAAAATCTAATCAGCTCATTGGACGTTGAAACAAAGCTTAAGTTTAAAATTTGGTGTTTTTCTATGTATCGGTTCATGAGTTATGCGTTATACAGACACACACACACACAGACACACACACACACAGACACACACACACACACACACACACACACACACACACACACACACACACACACACACACACACAGACATCATCGCGAAAATAGTCAGAACGGATTCAGGGGACCTCAAAACGTAAAAATCCGTCGAAAACTCGAGGTCGAAAAAAATCATGATTCCTATACTTTCCTTATATCTGTATACAGATAGGAAAGTAAAAATAGGCGAAGGAAGATGAAATTGGGTGTATCTACTAATTTCGTGAGCAGTTTATATTGCTGTAATAAAGTTTGTACTTTTAAATCAAAACGGAGACGTTAATGAAGTATATTTCATCATTTTCCAAAAAAAGGTAATCGTAAAGTACTTATTAAAAATAAAATGGGCAATTATGAAAGCATCGACTTGCGAAAACTGTGGATTTCTGTTCTAAAAATCAAAAACAATCTTTTACCTCAATGACAGTGTGCATTTTGCATTTCGTAGATGAAGATTTTTGTTTATTTGAAGGTAAGTTGTTTATATGAAGTATTTTAATCTTTTCGAATTCATTATAATGATTTAATACATTTAAAAACAGTTAAAAGCCTGCTCAAACTTTACATAATGTAAATAAACAAATCTCCTACTTATAGACGACAAATGACAGGCGCGCAAAAATTTGAATCGCGAAAACCTTTTTTTAATAAATGATGTCAAAGGAAAGAGAATTTTCAATTAGAAATTTAATATACCGAAGAATAACAAAGTTATGAAGCTGTAGATGCAAACAACGTGCTCTTGGTGGCGCCCTCTTCAGTATACATCAAAATGTGTTTAGATTTTAATTTCTTATCCTAAGAAACTCCAAGATACCAAATTTTGTGCAAATTGTGTTATTATTAAGATAAATATTTACTTAAAAGTATATATATAAAAAAAAATTATAACTTTGACACCCTGTAATTTGGAAACTATAAATTTATTAACTAAAATTAATTAGATTATGGGCCAATTTTTTCACGTCTAATTATAGTCGAAAGTAACTACTTGCTGATTAAACTATATGGCAATTTGTTAATCTGTCAAGTAAATATATATGTAACTTTACTTATAAACATGAAAAGATTCGGAATTTATCCTCATATTTTAGCCTAATAAATCTTCCAGGCAACGTTTTAGAGACACCCTATAAATTAGGTCAAATCGACTTATTTTGACCTTTACAATACGTGGTAGTTCTATATCCGTAGCAATTTTGGAACATCCTTTTTATAAGTATTCGTGAATTTGTATATGCTAATTTGGTTTATATTATGTCTTTAACCTCTTGAATTTAGTAAGCAATAAAGAAACCGTCTCTTGTGTCAGCTCAGACGCTGACACAAGTTTTTTGAACTTCGTTGCGCACACTTTAAACATGCACCGTCTACGTATAAATATAAAATTGCATGTATTTACCTGCCACCCTTGCAGTAGTAAACTTCTGTCAACAGTTCTGAGCCACATGACAGCATCCCCAGCTTGAAAATCCCTTAACTTATAGCACTTGGCATGTAGGAACATCCCCAAACACTTCAATAATTCAGAAGTAGAAGCCTGGATGACAGTCTTTTTAGGTGCAGCGACGGGCACGACCTGGTTTTGAGAACTGAGCGAATTTTGACTCAAAATAACTTGCTTATTTACCACCTTTTCACAATGCAAGTGATTGTTGGTATTATTATTGGCATTGTTGACCCTAACAATGTCTAACGCGAGTACTGAAGCACTCTTCGAATTCGAATAATAAGAACTGTGCTTGCTTTGCTGGATGTTCTTGTTTTTGTCGATCACGGGATGGATGTTGTCAACTAAAGGTTGTCGAAAAACCGTGATGTTGTTCTTATTTTTGTTGTTGTCCAATTTCTTTTTGTTGTTGTTGGTTGTTGAGAACCGTTTCCACGATAAGGCGTTGATGAACAACGAATGTTTCCTAAGATTCTTTTCCAACGCATTTTTTTCCGATATTATTCTCGCGTTTTCATTGTTGTTGATGTTGTTGCATAAATTATGGTTGTTTGAGTTCGAGTTCGTTATGCTGCAGTTGCTCTTGCTCTCGCGATTTTTGGCATTGTTTAATTGCTCGTAAGAGAAATTGTTGAGGGTAAAATCACCTGTCGAAGCGGTCGTGTACACTGGTCTCCGCTCGCGGGGCGAAAAACTGAGCACAGTGCCCATTTTCACTTGTTCACTATATTAACTAACACATTTTTTTCACTAGGATTGAATGTCAACGAGGTTCTCGTCTGCAATGCTAGCCCAGGGGTCGATCCTCCAAGAGCGTCGGGGCGCCGGCGCCAAGTTTCCTAGCAACCCCGTGATGTCATAAGAAATCAATATAACCACCCTCTGATAGAGGCGAATGTTTTTACGCGATCCTACTCCCTGCAAAGGTATTTATGTATAGTCGCATTAGTCGTGTGAACGTACGTGATTATACAGGGTTGAGGTCAATAAAAAAATTGATCTAAAGATTATTATTTATTAATTTGTGGTAAAAGAATAATTCTAAAATAAAATAAATTATAAATGATACTCAAGATCTTAAAATTTAATTCGTAATTGCTCGATAGTTCAATCTATGTTATACGTGTTTCGCGAACAAAGGGAAATATTTTAAGAACGTATTCTGGAAGTTAGATGGTGATAAAGGAATTATAAAAATCTGTTTTTCTCAAATAACTTACGACAACACTAAACATTGTATCAAACATGTCCGTCAGATAGTAACAGGTTTAGGTGCCCCATTTTCGCATACAAGCTTCGAAAAGGGTTGAAAAGTACATCGATTTTAAGTAGAATAAAAGTAAATTTACGAGTGGCTGCTGGGGATAACACATGGAAAATTCGATTTTCCCTAACACAATCGAAAGGTTATTTGTTACCATTTTCACTATATGATTAATTAATAGAACTAGCCTTCAGAAAACCAAGAGTTGCAAGTGGCTAAAGGGTTGAAATAAGGGCATAATCTTCTAAGGAAAAATCGAAATTATGCCCGATTTTTCCACACAATCCCATTGAATGTATGAAAACGTACGTCGTCACTATCCCGAAAAACATATTTTCTTGAATGGCCCGAATGTATAAGTGTATTTTGGGGTCGAAAATTTTTTCTGATTAGAAAAATCGAATTTTCCATGTGTTATCCTCAAAAGCCACTCTAAATCGGTCACTATCTGACGGTCTATTATTAGCGTCGGAGTTATTCAAGTTTAAAATAATTCAATTAAAAAAAATATCCGTTGCCAAATAAAATATACTTAACTTTCCCACTATGGGTGGGCAAAATAATCGATTAATCAGAATAATCGACTATTTTCGATTAATCGATCATTTTCGATTGATCTAATATTTTCGATTTATTCTACTGATCTAGAACTGACCTAGAACCGATCCTAAACCAACGATCCAAAACTTATCCAGTACTTATCCAGAACTTATCCAGAATTTATCCAGAACTTACTCATATCTAGAACAATTGAATGAGCTAGGCGAGAAAAATAGAGTTACTCTCACTTGGGTCCCGGGACATAACGGGGTACAGGGTAACGAGATTGCAGATAGTCTTGCAAGGAAAGGGGCTCAAACACCCTCTGTAGGACCTGAGCCGTTCTGCGGTATCAGCAGTAACATAATATTAGAAGAGATTAAAAAAGAATTGGGTAGTAGAAGAACCGATAATTGGAACAATCTCTTGGGGCTGAGACAGGCCAAGATACTTCTGGGTGAATATAACCAAAAAAGATCGGAAGCCTGCATCTGCCTGAGCAAGAACAGGCTACGTATTGTAACAGGGATCCTTACCGGGCACTGCCGACTAAAAGGACACCTAAGTAAACTGAGAGTAGTAGAGGATAGTGAGTGCAGATTCTGTGAGGAGGAGAACGAAACCTCCATTCACATCCTAACTGAATGTGTAGCATTCCAGAATCCAAGGGCACTATATCTAGGAGGATATCAAATAGAAGAGGGAGACTTACCTAACTTGAAGCCACTTCAAATCCTACACTTCCTTGAGAAAATAGGATTGGAAGGGTCGCTATAGGCATTGAGACATTTCCTTAGTGCAGTGGCGACAGAAGGGGGCACAATAGATCTTTTAGGTCGCAGTGTATTAACACCCCATTATCAACATAACATAACATAACATACCCATATCTTATCCATAACTTATCCATAACTTATCTATAACTTATCCATAACTTATCCATAACTTATTCATAACTTATCCATAACTTATCCATAACTTATCCATAACTTATCCATAACTTATCCATAACTTATCCATAACTTATCCATAACTTATCCAAAACTTATCCATAACTTATATATAACTTATCCATAACTTATCCATAACTTATCCATAACTTATACATACCTTCTCCGTAACTTATACATACCTTCTCCGTAACTTATCCATAACTTACTTATACATAACTTTGTTTTACGAAATTAAATTTTGAATAGGGAAATGGCAATTTATCTAATATTTATTTTTATGAAATATTATTTTTTGGGTTGTGAAACTAGGTTAAAACACTAGCTTGTAAAAGTAGGTTGTAAAACTGGGTTGTAAAACTAAACTAGGTTGGTCACCTATCCACGACGTGACAGGAGAGATCAATGTTTATCTGTTGCGAGTATGTGAATGCATACACTAAACTCGCGGCTAGCCTCTCTGTCAAAAAACTAAGTATAACTAGGTTGTAAAACTGTGTTGCATTACTAGGTTTTAAAACTGTTTTTTTTTTTTTTTTAGTTACACCCTTCGGACCTCCCGTACTACACTCTATTCAGTCTGTTTTGTGTACGTACGTTGTGCATTGTTCTGTGTGCGTTGTGCGTAGTTTTGTGTGCGTTGTGCGTAGTTTTGTGTGCGTTGTGCGTAGTTTTGTGTGCGTTGTTCGATGTTTTGTGTGCGTTGTGCGTTATTTTGTGTACGTTGTTTTATGTGCGTTTTGCGTTGTTTTGTGTGCGTTGTCCGATATTTTGTGTGCATTGTGCGTTGTTTTGTGTACGTTGTTTTATGTGCGTTGTTTTGTGTGTGTTGTGCGTTGTTTTGTGTGTGTTGTGCGTTGTTTTGTGTGTGTTGTGCGTTGTTTTGTGTGTGTTGTGCGTTGTTTTGTGTGTGTTGTGCGTTGTTTTGTGTGTGTTGTGCGTTGTTTTGTGTGCGTTGTTTTGTATGCTTTGTTTTGTATGCTTTGTTTTGTGTGCGTTATTTTGCATGCGTTATTTTGCGTGCGTTGTTTTGTGCATGTTTTTTGTGTGTGGTTTTTTTTGTTTACATTGTGCTTTATTTTGTGTGCGTTATTATGTGTCTGTTGTGCGTTGTTTTGCAAACGTTGTGCGTTGTTTTATGTGCGTTGTTTTATGTGCGTTGTTTTATGTTCATTATGCGTTGTTTTATATGCGTTTTGCGTTGTTTTGTGTGCGTTGTTTATTGTTTTATGTGCGTTATTTTGTGTGTGTTGTGCGTTGTTTTGTTATGTGTGCGTTGTGCATTGTTTTGTATGCTTTATGCGTTATGTGTGCGTTGTGCATTGTTTTGTGTGCGTTTAGGGTTGCGTGCGTTGTTTCGCGTGCGCTGCTTTGCGTGCGTTGTTTTACGTGTGTTATTTTGTATACGTTGGTTTTTGTGCGTTGTTCGTTGTAAAACTATTAAACGATAGTCAAATTAACAAAAACACTTATTTCTGTTAAAATTCCCCCAAATTTGATCTGAAAATCTTATTTTCTGGCCTTACGAACAACTGAACGGTGACTTTTTGAAAACCATTTTGTAGAGCTTTTAAAGAGGAATATAATGATGCAAACCACTTTTTCCTAGTGAAACGATAGTCAAGTTAACAAAAACTTTTTTCTCCTAAAATTCAATCTTATTTTCTGGCCTTACGAACAACTGAACGGTGACTTTTTAGAAACCATTTGGTAGATCTTTTAAAGAGAAATTTAATGATGCAAACCAATTCTTTCTAGTAGAAACGATAGTCAAGTTATTTAACAAAAACATTTTTCTCTTAAAATTCAATCTGAAATTAGTAAAAACAAGCTTGTAGAGCCTTTAAAAAGAAATTGGTTGTAAATTTAGGTTGAAAAACTAGGTTGTAAAATTGTGTTGTAAAACTAGATTGTAAAACTGGGTTGGAAAACTAAGTTGTAAAACTACGTTGTAAAATTATGTAGTATTTTTTAGTTTTACACTCTTCGGACCTCCCGTGGTGACTCTAATCCGTCTATATCCTGGTAGCACTGCAGCCTGCGGCTTATTAAACAACCATTTGAAGGTCCTACTACTTTCCCTCTCATTAATTCTAAGACTGCAACAATAATTTTATGAAATCTGAAATTGCAACCACTTACTTTCGTCACTAGAGACGTTATGGGATATTCTATCAATGGTGGCGGAACTGGCGTTTTCGGTAAAACGTGACGAAAGTTGTTGATTTTTAAATGGTTATAGAAAAAATTATTTTCGATTGACAATTTCCAGTCATGAAACACCAAATGTAGTTTCACAGTTATGTTTACTACGGAATTTTGATTGCACATTACTTATCAAATTATTCCCCTTTCAATAATCAACAATTTAAAGATACATTACTTTTTCTATTAGTTTTTCAACAGCACTGATCAAATTTAAAGGTCTTAAATGGGTAGCCTTATTTGGATTCGAAATTTTTGATATTGGAATTGAGGAGTGTTTTGCAAAAACCCATAAGTCAGTTTTTCATGAATTTTATATTGTAACAGTTACGGGTATATAACATTAGTATCTATGTCTCCGCGTGGAAAAATTTTGATAAATCGCTGGTAGTCCAAGGTGAATGGTTAAAATATCGACCACTCTGCATAAACCCAATATGTTAACAGCAGTTTTCATCAAAAATCACAAAAGTTGAAATTATGAAGACTAGGGATAAAGAGGCGAATCGGCCTTGGGCAAATTTCAGATTTCCGTCCCTATTTTTATGGATTTCCAAAAAACTACTGTAGTTGGAGAGTGGCAAAATAACGACGTCTATTTTCTATGCAAATCAATGGGAATTAAAGTGATTTTTGTAAAATTTAGTGAAAAGAATAAAAATAAGCTGAAATAAAGAACTTGATGACTACAAGTTGATGACTACAAGTATTCTAACAATGAGTAAGAAAAAACGGCAAAGTAGGATTTGCTTCGTTCCGGGTTGAAAAACGGGATATAAATCCGATATAAAATTAAAGAAAACACAAGGAGATAAAAATCCAAGTCTTTTTAAAGCTCCTAGTGTAAGTAAAATAATGTATTTATTTCTAAATAATATATATTTATTGTAAAATAGTCACACTCGTATCTTACGGAGTGAAGTTTATTTAATTACAAAATTCTATAATAATAAAGTCATAAAT